CCGCCGCCGCCGCCGCCGCCCTGACTGACACTGACTGACAGGGGGCCCCGCCCCTCAGCCAATCAACGCGCCGCCTCCGCGCCTTCGCCCGCCTCCCTGTGGCGCCACCGCCAATCGCCGAGGTCCGCCCGGGAATGAGCCGCCGCGGGGGACCCGGCTACAAACCGCGCCTGCTGTGCGGTGAACCAATGGGCTGGATCGCCGGTGGTTGATGGGCAGGATGCCCTTCCAATGAGATTCAAGGAGATGCTTCCCCTCCGAGAGGGGGTGGACACCGCCTTGCTGAGAGGCGAATGGCAGGCGCAGGTGGTGATGATAGATAGGTAGAGCGGCCAATCGTCCGCCACATCTCTCTTGGAGTGGCACCTGGCTGACAGAAGAGGACAACAAGCCCCGCCTGTTAGCTGAAGTGGTTGGATTTGATTGACAGGAAAATCTACCAATCGCTGGCGCAGGAGAAGGTGAGGCAGCCTATAGGGGCGCGGAGACTAAGCGGCATTCACCCCTCCAGCACAGGTGGCTGAACCCGCCTTCCTGGGGAGAGTTGCGGCTCTTATTGGCTAACGAGGATGATAGGCAAACGCCTCCACCTACGGGGCGTCGAGTAGCTGATCGCAGCTCCGTGGTAAGGGGTGCAGAGTGGAGTCAACGCTCGGTACCTCAGGGACGGTGCCCGGGTAGGGGGACCCGGGATGGTGGTCCCCAGTTCCCCAGGGACGAAGGTGTCAGGCAACCCTGGTTACCCAAACATGGGGGTGATGGGGGGGGTACCTCATTCCCACAGGGACCTGGGTATGAGGACCGTGGGGGTCCCCAGTTCCCCGCTGACAATGGTGTCAGGGTGACGAGCATCCCCTGTCCCACAGAGGTCCAGGGATGGGGACACTGGGAGCTCCTGGGATCTCCAGGGATGGGGAGAATAGGGACCCCAGTTCCCCAGATAATGGGGGTAATAGGGGTCCCACGTTTCTCAGGGATTCAGGGCTTGGGGCACTAGGGGTCCCCAGTGATCCCAGGGATGCAGGGACACTAGAGTCCCCAGTTCCCCAGGGACAGGGGTTTGGGGAGCATTGGGGATGTCCCTAAGGACAGGAGTGCTGGTGCACGGGGTATTCCCAGGGACAGGGATACGGGGACACTTAAAGAGCCCAGGGATGGGGGTGTGGGACACTGGGGGTGTCCCCAGGGCCTGGGGGTGCTGAGGTGCCATTGGGGATATTTTTAACAGTGCTGAGAAGTGGGTTTTTTAGGAGCTTAAAGGGATTTTCAACCACTCTGGCTTCAGTATTTAAAAAATAAAAAGTTAAAATAACCTAAAAAAGGTTAAAGAGGTAAGGATGGGGGAGGTTGAGGGGTGGGAGCTGGTGGTTTTCGTCCTCTCTTGACTTTTATCTCAGTTTTCAATTCTTTCCGCTTAAAAAGCACCAGGACAAACTGCATGCTGTCAGCAGAGAGGGGAACCACCGTGAGAGCGTGTGGGCCAAATTCACAGCATTGCAACCCAAACCCAACTCCATTGCCTCTTGGAAAGTGCCGGAGGCCCAAGGGCATGAGCGGCCACCCCAGGGAGAAGTTTGGCCTCGACTTCCCCTAAATTCAGGATCAAAAAAAGGGAAATTGGACAAAAGGAGGAAGCTGCTTGCCCCAAGAGCAGGGGAACCAGAGTGAGGGACGTTCAACTTTTGGCTGTGTTTGCTTTTCCCAGGGTGCCTCTGTGAAACTCAGCTGAAATCGGTCAATGGTGAAGTTATTAATAAGTTCTAACTTTCGTTTACTGTGGTAGCCAGCCCAGCGGACGCCTAGCTCGAAGCCCTGAGGGCATTCAGGCAATGAAAAGAATCTTCTGGAGAAGGAATGAAGGAAACGGTACTCAAAAAAATGAGGATTTTCAGAACGCTAAGTTTCTTGCATTAAAAACACAAGAAATCACAAAAATGCTGAACAAAATGCTAAAGAATTCCCACCAAACCAAAGAAAAAAAGTTAAATTTAGGTGCTCACCTTTGAGAACACCGGTCACCGTTTAGGCATGAAGCCTCCAAACACTGCCTCCTCAGGCAGGTGCCAGCCTCATTTGAGAAGAGCAGAGTGTGTTTTTTAATGAATTCTTCTGAAAATCAACAGGGAAATGGGCTGCAACACGTGGCGAGGGGCTGCCCAAGCGTATCGGCCGCTCCAAAGCTCCTGAGTGCGCAGATTTTTTTTTCTAGGAATCAGAATTATGAAACGCAAGCATTTCCTTCCCCTCAGGATGAGATGACGTGTGTTCCCCTCCACATAAATTGGGGTGATATCAAAAGAAAAAGGATCAGAGATGTCACAAGGCGAAGATGCCGTCGGCACCTACGAGAAATGGGATTTTGCCGAGGGGACGGAGTTGGAGAAGGAAGAGCAGAGGAAACCTAAAGGAGGTATTGGGGCAAGGGAGTGGCTTTGAGGATCCAGAGACATGAAACTGGAGGGTTTCAGCTCTTCAAACCAGCCTTTTTCTGAAGTTATAGCCAAATTTCGACACCTGGTTCCTCCGTCAGGTCGCAATCTAGGAAAAAGAGTTTTGAGCATGGAGAACAGGGGGTGGGGCCACTCAAGAGGTTGTTTTGCGGGGATCTTTCCTCTTTGTGCTCTTCTTTAAGAAAATACCCGTTGGGGGGCAAGTTATTTGGGGCTGCCTCAACCCATTTCACCCCCGGCAATGCTGTCCATCCTAGCCTTGTCTCCCGAGAGAGCTGTTGTGCTGCTGTACATGCTTCTGGCCCTCACCTTCGTGCTCTTCATGGCTCTCACCATCGTGAACCTCCAGAGAGGTGAGTCCGCCGTGTGCCCCTTGCTCTGATCGCCAAGCATGGGGCGGGCACAATTTGGGGGAAAACACCAGCAGATGGAGCAAAACGTGCCTCCAAGTTAGGATTGAAGGCTCTTTTCCAGCCTGTGAACTCTCCAGGGCTGGATCTAGAGTGAAGGCAAGTGCTCTCCTCTTCTCCTCTCCAGTATCCGCGGTGTGGGAGGTGTTGGAACAAGCCCGGATACGGAGCGAGAACAGCCACACAACGGCGTGGCACAACCTCTCGGAGGTCCAGCGCGCCCTCGGTATGACATCACGCCCCACAATGGCTCCCTGGCACCCACTGCATCCTTGATACCTGCATGGATTTTCCCCCTGGCGCTTCCCAGGGTGCTTTTTCCAGCAAAAAAAATGAACCGAAGCTGCCTTCCATCAGGACAGAGATGGTCAGGGCTTGTTTTGAGCTTTCTCCTCTTATTTTCCTCTTAGATAAACAGCTCTCTGGTGAGCTCAAGGCAATTCACGGCCGACTTCTGAATGGTACGCCAAGGAAAAGGTGGTTTTGGGGAAATTTGGGCAGAATCCCGAATACTGGGTGCAGGCAGTGGTGAGATGGGGCCAAAAGCAGAGTTTTTCCTCCTTCCAGTGTCACAAGAAGTGGAGAACGTGCGGTGGAAGATGACACAGTGCAAAGAGGAGTGCGGGAAGGAGCTGTCAGATCGCCTCCGTGTCCTGGGTGAGAGCCTGATTTTGATGGAAAACTGTTAAATTCCGTCCTTCTCCTCAATTCCCAAAACACATGGTATTGGGTAGATGCTCCAAAGATTCCTAAAATGTGCACCAGGAGTGCACAAAGCCAATCTTAATGAATTTGAGATAACATTAAGTGTACATTAAAGGAAAAAAAGCCTTTCTCAGCCTGTTGATAATAAAAAGATCATTTAACAAAAGGGCTTTAAGGTTTTACTGCCTGAATTTGAGAGAACGGTAACTCGCACCAGGAAAACACACAGCTAAAGCTATGGTGTAAGTTAGGATGGAAAGGAAAAGGGGAAAGGAGACAAAAATGGGTTTTTTAGATCTTTGCGGCAGCTAACTTATTCTCTCCCTGGCAGAGGAAAGGGACGGGCTGGAGCCAGTGCTGCGGCAGCTGGCAGAGGTGAAGCAGGAGCAGAGCCGCGTGTCGGCGCTCCTTGACGTGGCGCTGGAGGAGATGCGCAACCTCTCAGGTGAGGGGCAGCAGTCGGGCTGAGCCTGTGGGCGTCCCCCTGTGCTTGCCTATGCATTCTGCGTTTTCTTTTTTTCCCCCCATTTTCCCTCAGAAATTATCTGCACGAGGTGCCCCGCTGGCTGGCAGCAGTTTGACAAAACCTGCTATTTCTTCTCTTCCACCACCAAACCTTGGCTGGCCGCTAAAGAATTCTGCGCCAACTTCAGTAGCCATCTGGCCATCGTCAACACTGAGCAGGAAAATGTAAGCTGAGAAATCCTGTAAAAAGTGAAAAAAATCCCCAGATTTTATGAGTTTAGAAGAATATTAGACTCCAATTCCCCAAACAGAAAGCTGGAGGTTAAGCACAGGTGACTCAAGACTACCTGCGTAGGGGGGAAAATGTAACTGTTCAAGGTTCCCACTTGGTTCTGAAGGGATTTGGCCAAATTGCATGAATCTGTCCCTAAAATGGCGGGGGTGATTTAAGGATTTTTTGGGAAAAGCTGGGGGGAAGTGGCTGCCCTGCTAGGTTCTTGTGTGATTCCAGAGGCCTCCCAGGGTACGAGAGGTGCTCACCTGAGTTTGGGGTGGATACGCCATGGCTCCATGGTGATCCCTTCTTGTGATCATATAGAAATTACAGAAATTATTTAGAAATTACAGAAATTATTTAGAAATGACAGAAGTTATAGACTGAATTACAGAAATATAACCCAAACCCTGCACAAATTAGCATTTCTACCCCAATTTAGACGATCTCTGCCTCCCATTCAGAGCGGTCCTTTCACCAGCCTGGCTTTTAAAAAGCACATTGGGTCTGAAAAAAATCTTCTTTCTCCAGGTATTAGAAATTTCAGCACTTTTTTCCATTTGCAATTGGAAATGTTGCATTTTTCATCACACTTGTGGCACGTTATGGTTGTTCCCTTCAAGGGACGGGCTCCCTGATGTCACTGACTCCCGGCGCTGGCCTCGGTGCCACTGAATCCCTTTGCTGTCGCCTTCCGCTTCCGCTCATGATGCTTCATTTTCCCCCCCTCCCCGTTTGCAGAAATTTCTGGCAAATCACATCATGGACAATCGGGTGTTTTGGCTGGGTCTGACCGACATGCACACAGAAGGCAACTGGCAGTGGGTGGACGGCCGCATCCTCTCTCTCTCGTACGTTTTTAGCCTCATCGGAGGGTAAATTGGCCCCCCCAAATCAACTTTGTTCTCCCTCAGCCCCTTTTTTACTGAAAAAAAGGCACCAGACTCTGGTTTAGTGCTTGAAAAGCACGGAAATAAGTTTCATGCTGCCACAGTACCTGAAAATGCCGGGTGGGGGGAAAGGTAAGAGGAGCCACCCTGCTGCAGGCAAGATTTTGGCTTCCCCCTCCCTCCCCCCAAATTCACTTTGGTTTTGGGGCTGAAAACCCAGGTGGGAACATGCAAGGAGCCCCTGCACCTGCTTGGTTCCCCCTCCTCAGGAATGGACTGAGACCCTGCACTGAGTCAAAGGGGTTATTTTGAACAGATCTCCTCATTCTTGGGATTTTGGGAAAAACACTGCGATCAAAGTGGAGCCATTTTCCTACATTAAATAGGGTGAAAAGGGGAAAATCACTGAAATTGCATTGCTACGTTAAACGGGGGGAGGTGGTTTTTCTGGGAGCCTGTTGCCCTCCTCAAAAAATGTTGTGGGGCTGGTGTGCTCTCCACCTGACTCCCCCCTACTTAACCCCCCCCCCCAAAAACCCAACAAATTCCCAAACGGAGAGCTTTCCACCCAAACCAGTGTGCCCCCCTGCTCCCCGCAGGTTCTGGAACAGCGGGGAACCCAACAATGTGGGCCACCAGGGCGAGGACTGTGCCACCATCTATTCCAGTGGCCACTGGAACGACGCTACCTGTTCCAACGCCGAGACTTGGGTCTGTGAGCGCAGCTGCTAGTGGCTCCCCTCCCCGGGCCGCCTGCTTACCTTGCCGGGGCTTAAAAAATGGGAGAAAAAAACAGTAAAAACCTGGCAAAACCAAGCACAGGGTGAAAACACGAGACTCTGGGGGGAAAAAGGTATCCAAAAATGGGTACCTCCACTTCCCAAAAGTGAGGTGCACTGCCTGAGGTGGGCACAGCGCTGTGACGGAAGGGTTAAACGGTTTGAGAGGGTCACTTTTGGGGGGAGGTGAGGGGGTGGGTTTAGAGATTTTTGGGGTATTTGTTAACATTTTTTGAGCCGTTTACCTATTATGCTGAGGCTCAACGTATCGCTTGCCTTGTTAATCAGGAAAAACCACCTCATAAATAAAGTGCTTCAATTGCGATTCGAACCAAAACTCATGTCAATCGAGCCGACGTGGCGCCGAGGAGGGTTGGTGCGCACCTTTTTTCCCAGGGTTTAGGTAAAAAAGAAAACCAAAAAGGGAAGAGAGACCAGTGAAGATGAGGCGCAAGCATGTTTTCAGAGCGCGTATGCAAATCTCCAACTCGCGGGTGCTGAAGCGCGACGCCTGTTTTGCCGAAAGGCCTTGCCGCCGGATTCCCCTCCTGGTGCGGGCAGCAGCTCCGCTAGAAGATTTGGGATTTCACTGGTGCGGTGTTTAACACTTGTAAGTGCCACTGTGGCAGTTTTATTTATAATCCCTACAAAAAACCCGCAAACCGATGTGGGAGCTGCCTTCAAATTCTCATTGGTGGCAGAGGTCTTATGGCGTCACCGTTCCTCCCCCCGAAACAAATCCGTCATCCCCAAAGTCACCAAATCCCACGGTCCACCGAAAAGATGTATTTTTTGCACGGGGAAGAGCGCAGTCTTGCCCTCCTTTCGCCGCTCATTTGCATGTCACCACCGCCCCGTTGCGGAGAAGGAACCGAAAGCTCAGGGCCTAACCACTGGCCAAAATGGGGTGCCGGAGGTGGTGAGGGGTGTGCCGGCACGCGTGCCGAGGGGTTTAGCTCTCCACCAGACGCCTGCGCGGCTACTCTCCTCGGCAAAGCATGGCCCGGCAGGAGACCTATGGCAACTGGTTGGGTCCCCCACTGGCACCCGCCAAGCGGTTGGTGAGACAAGCAGGTAAAATTGGGGAGACCCCCCTGCTCTCCGTGTCCTCAGTGTGTCCTTGGTGTGTGTTTTCGGGGCTGGTGGGTGTCTCGGCACAGCGCGGCGGTGTCCAAATATGCCGGCGGGGCACTGCTGTTGTACGGAGCCTTTGGGGCGCTCAGAGTCATGTGGGTCCCACTCTGCGCTCGAGAGCCTCTAAATCTCCAGGTTTGGCCCCAATTTCAGGTGCAAACTCCACGCCAGGCCTTAAAAAAAGTCATCGGCAACTTCCTTGCTGGTGGCAACAGGGTTGAAGAAGCACTAGTGGTGGTTTTGAAGATCCTCCCCTTATCCTCAATGCTCTTTTACTTTCCTTTTCTTTTTTTGGCAGGAATTTACTCCGTTGCTGGGAAAATGACACCCGTGGGTGACTTCAGACCAGGTAAATCATCATTTTTTCACCTTGTCAGGCTTTTTTGTAGCATGGATGGAAAGCAGAACTCCCCAAGGTGCCTCCCCGAGGCCAAAGTGGGCTTTATTTTCAGCTCGGTTGGTCAAACGTCTCGCTATAACGCAGCATTTCTCTCCAGATTTGGTTCCTTCTGTCAAATGAGATCAAATAGCCCCCAAAATATCCTGAAAGTCCACGCTGGGGGATTGAGAGGAAATTTATCTCTCTATCCTCACTCTTGGAGCCAGTGTTTGCACCTTTGCAGGCTCAAATTCATCCCCTCCCACCATGGAGAGCTTCAGACTTCACCAGAATTGCTTGGGTTTGCAGCCGAGGGGAGAACTCGGCTCTGAAAGAGTGGAGCAATGTTATATATAAAAATGATAAAATCAATATAGATTGAGAAAAGGATGTAAAAATCTTGCCAGAGGTGCTGCAGATTTACCAAAGGGGAAAGGTGAATTGCCTTTTTTTATGCTTTCCAAAGAATCCAGCTGATCATTAAGGGACAGGATTCCCAGTTGGCCTAAAATCCCAATTTTCATCCATTTTTCTTTTTGCATAGCATCCCCAGACAGCTTCGAGGACGATTATGACGACGTGTCCCTGTCGGAGATGGATCGTGGCCACAGGACACCGGTGACTGATGAAGACCTGCAGAGCCAGAGGAGCAAAGGAGGGACAGGTAGCACCCACCTCCTCTCCCCACATCGCCTGTGTGCTTGAGGAATTCCGCAGAGCAGGATTTGGCCATAAAATGCCCCCAAAACATCACCCAGTGACTCCTGCCTTCCTCCCAATAGGGGTTTACATCCTTGCGGGGAAACCGGCATCTCCAAATCCTTCCCAAAAAGGTGAGTAGCTCTTGACCGATGCTGCTAACCCACATCGGAGGCCTCAGCCAGATCCAGACATGGGAAACCGGGATTCCTCCCCGATTTCTCCCATGCTGCTCTCCACAGGTCACTCGGACCCCAGAGGTGGCAGGGGACAGAGCCGCAGGGTGACATCGGTGGCCATCCTCTACGTCCTGGTAGCGCTGAGCTTTGCCGCGTGGGTGCTGCTTTTTGCACTGGCCATGGTGAAGCGTAAGTGTCCCCAGAAGGGTCCCCACTGGGCCGGGAAGCAGCTGGTTTGGTTAAAACACCCCAAAAAAAGCATTTTCACTGTTAAAAATAACATGTGGCTTGTGCCCGTGATGCTTTAAGTGTCCATCCACATGGAAACTGGCTAAAGCCTGTCTGTCGTCACAATTTGGTTTTAATTCTACCTTGGTATGTGAATTCTAGGGTTTTATCCCCAAATTGCCCCCAGCGCGCTATATCTGGCTGCAGCCTCCTTCTGCCTGCACCAGCAGCACTCCCTGTTTGCTACAGGGTGTAAATCCAGAGTAAATGCGCTCCGGAATTCCCCACTCAGCCCCAAAAAGCCATAAATTGGGCAAATTTAGAATCTGCTCTGGAATTCCCCACTTGTCCCAAAAAAGCCATAAATTGGGCAAATTTAGGTGCCACTTGAGATTCCTCGGTATGATCCATCCACGTTTTTTCTTTCATTTTCATTTCAGAGATGGAAATCATGGCGGAATTAAAGCTCTTGAGGTCAAACTACTCGGAGAATCAAGCCAACGGTAGGTCCTCGGACTCACATCCCTGTGGTGAAGTTTAATGGTGATTGGGAGACACTGATTTTTTGGTGTTTGGCTCTTTCCTGGCACCAGTTTTGCCTTTTGGTATAAAATAAGGAAAAACTGAATTGTCTTTTCGAGCGGCTCCTGGTTCTGCTCCATCTCTTAGTGAAGCAACACCGACTTTGCCTTGTTTCTGATTTCTACCGGGAATTACACCGGGGTAACGGTGTGGATTGGACACCGACTGAGCTCATGCCCCAATCCTGAATGAATTAGTCCCAAAAGGGTGCAAGCAGGAGCAAATCAGCCCTTGGGATATCACAGGATTTATCCTGATTAGGATCTTACTGTGGAGAAAATCCACCCCGTTATCTCTGTTAAAGGTTATGGGAAGGGAAGGATGTAAATCCTACAGAAAATTCTGCAAAAGTCAAATATAATTGGCCAAATCCTTAACCGCTGCCAAATGAGTGATTAATTAAATCATATTATGGGTGATATTGCAGCAAAATGTCACCCAAATAGAAAAAAACCACGCAGCAAAGCTGGCAGCTGGTGATGTAAGAGCTTTTACAGCCCTGATTGAGATTTCTCCATGTGGAAAAGTAATAAATCCTGGGGGAGAAAGCTCAAGATTTGGGTAAACTGAACTGGGGAAGCAGGAAAAAGACAAGGGGACGGGGCTGGCGGTGGTCGCTCACCCTGCTGCCCTCCCCAGTGCGGCAGGAGCTGTCGGAGACGCAACGGGAACAGACGCGGATGCGGACCGGGATGCACAAATACTACGAGGAATTGCAGGATATCACAGGTAAAGCCGCAATCACCGTCTTGATGGTCTCTCGTTGTGCACCAGGAGAGAAACCTCCTGGTTTTAACCCAGAAAGACCACAGTGGTCTTAGGGATGGAAAATTTGGGTGATTTATGCCAATTTTGAGATATCACCCTACCAGGGAAGCCGTGGAGGTTTCCCCAGCAGAGAAAAACTGATTTTCACCTGCATTTGGGGGTGTTTCTTGTCCCTCCAGCGCTGATCTGCAGATCTGTCCTGGACAACAAGAAGTGCTCGGCCGGCTGGAAGATCTTTGAGAAAAGCTGCTACTCCTTCTCGACAGAGACGATGAGTTGGCTGGACGCAAAGGAGATCTGCGCCGACCAAGGCGCTCACCTGGTCATCATCAACTCGGAGCAGGAGCAGGTCAGTCAGCTGCTGGCAAGTGAAAAATAACCAGTTTCTTGGCTTACACAGTGCCTAAAATACCCCTTTTCTTGGAGAATTTCTACTCCAGCAAACACAGGAACTCTAAACTCTTCTTTTTTTTTGGCTCAAATTCACCAAGATTGGCCATCAGGCTCAGAGTTATTTGGAGGCGGAGAGAAGCGCTGATGGCCAAGCTGAGTTCAGTCAACTATGACTTCCCGTTTTAGGAAAAAGTGCTAAAAACAGAGCAAAAATGTCAACATCTCCTTTCCGGAGTGCTGTGTATGCACTTTTTGCTTCAATACACCCAAATTGTTCAATATTTACCAAAAAATACTGCTCAGGTATCGCAGCGATGACCTTACCTTAATTGCCAAAAGCCTCGAGATTCTCTGTCTTCCCTGGAATTATTGTTCTGGGGCTGTTTTAACTAATTCTGCTTTTTTAGAAGTTCCTGAAGGACAATATTAACAGCAGCAGCACGTACTGGCTGGGAGTGACGGATCAGTTGGAGGAAGGCACCTGGGTCTGGACTAATGGCGAACATACAAGTATTAGGTAAAAACTCCCTCCAGAGATTCCCCCAAAATGGAAAATAATTAGAAAATAAATGGAAAAAGGTGAAGTTGACCCACCGAAACATAGGGTTTTGGTAGTTTTACATAAGTCAAAGGGTTTATGTTGGAAAAATGGTATTATCAGAGCGTTTTCTTGCTGGTGGTTTAAAAAAAAAAAAAAAAAAAGGAGTTTTTTAGTTGTTTCCTTCCCTCGAAATACAAATTTTGCCTCTTCCTGAGAGAGCTCCACTGCTGTGGGGCTTGGTTTTTTTTTTTTTTTTCTTATTTTCTGTTTTCCTTTTTCTCCTTCTTTCTCCAGCTACTGGAACACATGGTCGGAGAACAAAGACAAGGACCAGAAGGACTGCGGCAGCATCGGACCCGGCGGCATCTGGAACGATGACAAATGCTCCCACACCAACCACTGGATTTGCGAAAAGTCCTGGAACTGCTGACCAGCATTATTTTTTCCCATTTCCAGACAATTTTCAGTGCGCCCATAAAAAAAAAAAGTACATTTCAAACTTCCCATGCAGGAGCTGGATGAATTTATGCGGCTCCTGGGGGGGAGCCTATTAATTGCCTATTAATGATGTGCAAACCCCTAAAAATCAGTAGAATCCCTGTGAACCCCAACCTTGCAAGCCTGACCCACAACCTATGAAAAAAGGGGATTTTTCAGTTAAAAATAATCACTGTAAAAAAGGTTAAAAATCCACTCAACAGTGCAGAACCAGTCCCATTCCTCAGTGCCGCTGAATTTCTTCTTTCCCCCCCCAGCAATGCTGCCATGTCGTGGTTTCTGCTTAACTCTCAGAAAAGACAATTTCAGTAAAATCTTCGTCTTTTTCCCATTTTCCAAATATTTTTTCCATATTTATCCTTCTCTCCCCCAAATGCCAGCCCCTGTCTGTGCCCCACAGCCAAAAAACCCCCTCCAAATCCCAGTTCTGCTCATTTATACATTTCTTAATTCAGCACACCACCACCCAGTAAAATTCCCCCCCCTCCCCCAAGAAACACAACACGTGCCGTTTGGTCTTTTTTTGCCCCAAATAAATTAAACAGCCCCACCAGACTCATCCTGGTGCCTGAAAATTTCTGGAATCAAAGGAATCCCGTTAAAATGGTGGTGTGACATTAACTCTTGTTTTTTAAAGGGTAATAAGCTACAAAAATCAATGTTTTGGGGGAATTTATGCATTATCGATCAGTGGAAACGCAATGATTCGTTACGGGTAATGAAATTCCCTCTCTAGGTTGAAAATTAACCATGGGAGCTCCCCCCCCCCCCCCAAATTAGGAAACTTGAGCCGGGCTTAAGAAATTTGCTGTAAAATCAATAAAAAAAGGACCCAGGGCAGAAAAATGAAACTGGTTTTAGGCTAGTTTGGGCTGTTTTTCAACACACAAAAAATCAATTGGTGGCAGAACATGCACGAAGAGACACTTATGTCCTCAATAAAAATTTCTTAATTTAACCAAACTACCCATTTCTAGCAAGGAAATGGGCTGGGAGGGGGGTGATCCCTGCTGATGTGGGGGATCATTGGAGCTGTAGGCTCTGGTGATGGAGACTGGGGGTTACTGGGAGCACTGGGGCTGAGGGGTGCTGGGAGGGCAGTGGAAGCATGGCCTGGGGGTTACTGGGAAGGCACTGGGAGCTCAGGGGCCAAGGAGGGTACTGGAAACACAGGAAGCACTGGGCTAGGAGGTACTGGGAGCACTGGGGCAGGGAGACAGCCCAGTCCCAGCACTGGAGGGGTACTGGGAGGGAACTGGGGCAGGGACACAGCCCAGTCTCATCACTGGGGGGGTACTGGGAGTACTGGGGCAGGGACACAGCCCAGTCCCAGCACTGGGGGGGCAGTGGGGCAGGGAGACAGCCCAGTCCCAGCACTGGGGGGGCACTGGAAGTGTAGGGGGGCAGTTCCCAGGGGCCCCCAAAGCTGCCATCTCCCCTCAGCTCTCCTCAGGAGCCTTATATGCCTTTCTCGACGCCCCATTGGCTGACCCCTGCTGCCCATCTCAGCTCACAGCCAACCACCACCTTCTCTGTGCACTGGCAGGGGGGCGGCTTTTCCCCTTAGCACCACCTCACAGGCCAAGCGCTGCCCATTGGCTGGCACCACCGCCATTCAGCCCACCCAACCGCACGATAGGCCCCTCCTGCTCCCACCTCCTGGCACTGCCCAACTCCCACCTCCCACCAATCAGGCACCTCTCTGGCTCTTGGGGGGCAGGAAAGACACCCTCAGCACCCTTGACTGCCAGCCCCTGTCAATCAAGAGCTAGCCAGAAGCTAATTGGCCTCGGGGGGAAGTGAGGCGGGGCTTGACTGGCTCAAGACCCCACCCACTCTTGTCTCTAGGCCTCAGGGTTTGGGGGGGCACCCATGGCCACTCCTTGGAGCAGACCCAGGGATCTGGGCCCCCCCTTCCCAGACCCCCAAGTGGACCCATGCGTTCTGCCCACCGGCCGCATCCAGCTTGACTCCTTAGGGACGAGCCACATGCCTTTAATCAGCTTTTTTCAGCCCAAAAGTAGCCACTGGAGCTGCAGGGTGAAGGCAGCTGGAAAAGGCCGAAACCGGAGCAATCCCATGGGAAAACACACTGGGAATGGGTCATTCTGCAGGAAAAGGTCAGAACTGGGGCAAGCGTGAAGGGAAGCAGCTGGAAAAATGGGGCAAAACTGCTGGGAAAATGGTGAAAATGCATCGTTCTGTGGAAAAATGCTGGAAAGGGGTCAAGTGTCGGGAGAGGAACGCTGAAAGTTAGGTGATCCTTGGAGAAAATGCTGGAAGTGGGTCAAATCTGCAGGAAAAATGCTGGAAACAGGACGTCCCACAGAAAAATGATGGTAATTGGTCGTTTCTTAGAGTAAATGCTGCAACTGGGTTAAAACCAACCAGTGGAACAACTCTGGAAGGGGGTTATGCTGTGAAAAAATGCTGGAAATGGCTCAGTCGTGAGAGGAAATACTGGAAATTGGTTGTTTCTTTGGAGAAAATGCTGGAGGTGGGTCAAATCTGCAGGAAAAATGCTGGAAAATGGTCATTCCACAGGAAAATGCAGGAAATGGGTTGATCCTGGAGGAGGAAGCAGCTGAATACAGATTGATTCCAGAAGAAAATGCTGGAAATGGGTCATTTCTTGGGGAAAATGCTGGAAAATGGGTCAGATATGTGGGAAAAATACTGTAAATGAGTTGTTCTGCAGGAAAATGCTGAAAACGGGTCAGAACTGTGAGGAAAATGCTAAAAACGGGTTGTTTTGCAGGAAAAAAATGCTGGAAATGGGTAAAATCAGCAGGAAAACTCGGAAAATGGGTTGGATCTGCAGGAAATATGCTGGAAGTGGGTCAGATGTGCTGGAAAATAGCTGGAAATGGGTTGATCCTGGGGGGCACCCGCTGTCACTTCTCCCACGTGCAGCCCTCGGTGCTGTGGCTCTGCGGCCTTTCCCCTTCCTGGGGACAAAAAGGGGCCATGCTGGGGTGAAACGAGGACAAAATGGGGCAGAGGTTCTGTTGGTTTCTTGCCAGACCCCCAAGGACCTTGGGGTCCAGGCAGCCTCCCCTGTGCAACCCCTGGCCCCCACCTCCTTTTGGTGGCAAGCAGAAGACCCAGATGTTTGGGTGCCCACCCAGCACCCCACAGGGACCCAGGTGGCCACTCAGCACCCTCCAGGGACCCGGGTGATTGGGTGCCCTTACCATGACATAGGTGACATGTATCTCCGTGGTGGGCATCTCCTGGGGGTGTGCTCTTCGCCCCAGCGCCCTAAACCAGCGCTGGTACTGCTCCGTCACCTGTGGACGGGACCCACAGTTGTGTCCTGAGTGTCCCTGTCCCCTCTGATGGATCCCACACCTGGGTCCCCCCCCATGGTACCTGCCGGTTGAGGACGCAGTGCACAAGGAAGATGAAGGCTCCCTGCAGGCTGTTGACGATGGTGAAGATGAAGGCCACCGCTATATTGTCACCCTGTGCCTGCAGGAAGCCCAGACCCCACGTGCAGCCCAGGATACAGATGTGCGCCAGCGCCTTGAACGTCATCAGCCTGACGGAACACTCATTTTGCTCTTTTTTCCACCCAAAATCCATCCCAGATGCTCTTCATCCTCCCCCCAAAACCCGACACGCTTCCCACCAACACAAAAACCCACCGGGTATTTTTTAGAGCTGTGACATCAGCATTGAGGGAGGAGAGTTTGTCCCGCAGTGTCCAGAGGGTGGTGAGAAAAAATAGCAAATTAACCTGTGCAGAAAGCAGAAAACCATCATTTTGCAAGACAGGGCCCATGGGGTGTAAATTTGGGGTGGAAAAGGGTCAATGGTGCAAAACCGTGCACCGTGGCATGACCTTCACCGAGCACACCCAGCCCGTGGGATGTTTGCTTAATACCGTCCTTAAACAAACACATGCATTTGTTCTTTTTATGCAAATCTTTGAAATTCCTCAATTTGGGGTCTATAGGGGAAGAGCCATGGCCACGATTGTAGATTTGGGGTGGAAAAGGGGCCAATGGTGCAAAAAACCATCATTAACACACTGCGGTGCAAACTCTGCCAAGTGCACCCAGCCCATAGGAGGTTTGCTTAATACTGTTCTTAAAGGTAAGTCTAAATTTGCTCTTTTTTTCTCCCAGTTTTTCCCCCCTCCGCCTCCTTTCAGCAGCAAGACACCCACCAGGATGATGACACAGACAGGGCCAAGGAAACTCCAGAGGAAGCCTCCCTCCGTGCTCAGCCAGCAGCTAAAAAAGGGAGAAAACGGGAAGAATAGCCCAAAACCCTGATTTTGGTGGCATGAAAGTACCCACGAGCTGGATGCCATGGCATCTTTTTTTTGGGTGATTTAGGCAAAACGCCTGATGTTCTCCATCTATGATCCCACCCCACTTGGTTGACCCGAGCCTTGGTGCTGGTGGGACTCACTAGTGCTTGGTGCCATAGCCATCAGGATGGACGGCGGCAGAGACGGCCACCACGATGGCCGGCACGCCGTAGCCCACGGGGTAGATGTATCTTTTCCTGAAGCGACTGGCACTGGTGTAGTTGAGGACACGCAGGTTCCTGACAGTGAGGAAGAGATGCAAACCCTCCAGGAACATCCAGGCAAAGCAGGCAAGGAAGAGGTAGTGGAGAAAGCCTGCCATGATGCTGCACGCCAGCTGGATGGGGGAAATGGAGGCCATGCTGGGCTCCCCAGTGTGACCACAGTGTGGTCCAGGGAGGTGGTGACATCTCCGGCACTTGGAGATATTCCACACACCCCAACATGGCCTCAAGGAACCTCAAGGAGGTGGAGATGCTGGGGGCAGACAAGAGACATTCAAATGTCTCTTGCAAGCTGAGCTATCCTGTAGTTCAGTTGGCTCCACCCACCCAGAGGAAAAAGGGACCCAAGAGCCTTGAGGAACACCAACTGGGTGGACCTGCTTTGAGTTGGGGTTGGTCTGGAGACCTCCAAACATCCTGTTCAACCTTGGTTATCCTGTAATTCAGGTGCTTTCACTCACCTGGAGAGAGATGAGACCCAACAACTCTGAGGAACCTCAACTAGTTGGACCTACTTTGAATGGAGATTGGTCTGGAGACCTCCAAACATCCCATTCAACCTCATTTATCCCATAATTCGGGTGCTGACACCCACCTGGAGCAAGAAGGGGACCAAGAACCTTGAAGAACCTCAACTAATTGGACCTGCTTTGAGTTGGGGTTGAACCAAACCTTCCAGACTCAGTTATCCCATAATTGGGGTGCTTTCACCCACCCAGCATGAGATGAGACTCCCGGCAGAAGGTCTGCTGGAGCTATTAGGGCAGAGGCTACAGCCAAGAGCCATGACCCTGGCTTCTTTTCCCCACAAGCTCCCCAAAGACCTTGAGGAGGTCCTGGGGAGCTTGAGGAAGCTCCAAAGACCTCATGGAGACCCAGAGGAGCAAAATAAGATGCTGAGGAGCCCCTGATGCCCCCAGATGCTCAAGGAGACCTTGAGGAGCATGTGGAGACCCCAAGCAGGCTTAAGGAGACCCTGAGGAGCATGTAGAGACCCCAAGGAGTCTCAAGGAGCTGCTGAAGGCCCCAAGATGCTCAAGGAGCCCCTGAGGAGCCCCTGAAGGCCCCAAGATGCTCGAGGAGACCCCAAGGAACCCATACCCTATTGGCAGTCTGGGGCACGGCCACGAGGAAGAGGAGGTTGGCAGCAAAGAGGCAGATGCTGAGCTGCAGGTGGAGGGTGACGCTGACACTCCAGAGTGAGTGGCACAGGAGGAAGGTGACGATGGTGAGGAAGAGGCAGACCAGTGACACCGACATCCCCACGTAGGTCACCACCGTCAGCGCGAAGTTGTCCTGTGGGCGACGTCACGCTCACGACATCGCGCAAGTCCCATCCGGCACGTGGCCGCACACAGCCATTTGGGAAGGAAGAAAACACCTCAAAAATGGGTATTTTAAGGGTGCAAATGGGATCTTACCGTGATGGGGTGGATGGCCATGAGGATGGCGAAGGCAGAGAAGTGGTTGCAGGCGCAGATGGAGTGGAGGTTGTCACCCCCGACACGGGTGCAGCCTGAGGGCGTCCAGTGGCCTTTGGTGCCCATCAGCTGCCAGGACATGCAGCATGGCTCATCACCCACCTGGAGCGCCTGCTGAGCATGGCCTGCTCAAGACATGTCCTGCAGCCCCAGGGAGGGGCTGCACCACCCCTTCCCACCATCGGTTTGGATGTGGAACAGGATGGGGATGCGCTGACCCCGAAATTGCACAGGATCCAGATTTGCACCGGGATGAAGATGCACCGACCCCAGATTTGCACAGGATCTGGATTTGCACCTCGATAAGGATGCACCAAACCCAGATTTTCACAGGGTCCAAATTTGCACCAGGATGGAGATGCACCAAACCCAAATTTGCACTGTGATGGGGATGCAGTGACCACAAATTTACATGGGATCCGGATTTGCACCAGGTTGGGGATGCACCGACCCTGGATTTGCACAGGATATGGATTTTCATGAGGATGGAGATGCAAACCAAATTTACACTAAGACAGGGATGCACCAACCCCAAATTTGCACGTGATCCAAATGTGTACCAGGACAGAGATGCATCAGATCCAAATTTGCACTGAGATGGGATTGCACTGAATCCCAGTTTGCACTGGATCCAAATTTGCACCATCATGAGGACGAGCTGAATCTTGCAGTGGGACAGGGATGCACTAAATGCAAATTGGCATCAGGGTTGGGATGCGCCAAATCCAAGTTTGCATCAGGGCAGGGATATATGGACCTGAATTTGCACAGGATCCAGATTTGCACAGGGATGGGGATGCACCAAATCCAAATTTGCATCAGGATGGGGATGCACCAAGTCTGGATTTACACTGCATCCAGATTTGTACCAAGACAGGGATGCACCAAATCCAAATTTGCACCGGAACAGGGATGCACCAACCCCAGATTTGCACAGGAGCCCAATTTGCACCAGAACAGGGATGCACTGACCCCAAATTTGCCCCGGGATGGGGATTCACCCCCAAATTCACCATCACCACGCTCCAAATTTGCACCATCACGATGCCCCGTTGCCAGCCCCACCATAATTTGGACCAACGCACTTGATGCAACAAACCCTGTTGTCCTTCCTCGTGCAAATCCCGACCCCGCGTACCCCTCAGCAGACCCCCCCCCCCCCGAAACCCCAGGGCAGCCCCCCAGCACCCACCGTGCGGTGCTGCAGGGTGATGTTGAAGGTGGTATTGAAGGTGACACCAGTTTTCCCCACGGTGCCGCTGACTACATGGGAGTTGAGCTTTCCCTGGTGCAGTTCCGTGACGCTGCTCAGCAACTCCTTGTAGACGATGAAGGCCACCACGTGCTTGCCTGCCCAGAGAACTGGGTCAAAAAAACACCCCCAAAATACCAAATTGGGGGGGGGGGGGGGTCATGTTTGAGCTTTTTGTTTCTTGCAGCAGCGTAGTAGCCGTACCTGCCTGGGTATGGCTCACCACCTCATGGCAGCTGATGGTCAGGTTCTCTTCACCCACTGCCAGCACCAGCGTGGTCTGGGGGCAGTTGTCACGCACCACCTCCACCGTGGCCTCTGATTTGGGGTGAAAAAAGGCTTTTTTAGGGTCTTTTGCTTGCCTTGGGTGCCACTTGTGGTCTTGCAGAGCTCTGGGGAAGGGATGCGGTGATGCCACCAAGCTGGTTCTTGGGGTGTTGCAATGCTTTTGGGGGCATTGCAGTGCTTTTGGGGGGCACCCATGGGTGCTGGCGTACCCACGGTGGAGACATTGAATTTTTGGGTGCTGGAGCCAAGGCCTTTGAGGGCCATCTGCAGCACCACGGCTTCGGTGCTCTGCAGCAGCAGGTCCATGGCTAGGGCGGTGGAGTAGTGATGTGTGACTCTCTTTATCTGCTCTTGCACGGCCTGGGGAGGGGACAAGGGAGGGCACACGCGTGTGTCAGGGGTGTGCAGGGATGCACACAGGGGAGGGAGATGCGGGGGAAGGATGCATGGGGGTGATGGAGGATGCACACGGGGATAGACACGTGTAGGGGACAGACATGGGACATGCACACATGTAGGGGATGCATATGTGTAGGGGAGGGACATGTGTGCAGAGTGTACACACAGAGATACACACGAGTAGGGGTGCACATGTGATGGACACACGTAGGGGATGCACGCAAGGCATGGACACATGCCAAGGGTGAACATAGAAGTGCACACATGTAGGGGATGCACGTACAGGACAGACATAGGCCATGCACATATGTAGGAGATAGACACCGGGATGGACACGTGTAGGGGATACACGCTGAGGGGATTCACCGGAGGATGCACGTGTGTAGGGGCTGGACATGGGGTTGCACACGGGATGCACATATGTACGGGTTGACATGGTGTTGCACACGTGTAGGTACATGGGAGTGTGCACACGTATAGGGGCTGACATGGGATGCACACATGTAGGGGATGCACACGCACGCAGTGGATGGACACACATGGGGACACACAGACACCCCCAGCCCCGGGCACACGCGTGTGCCCACCCCCGCGTCACCTGCAGGTTCTTCTCCGTGGTGTGGGTGCAGGCAGCGTTCAGGTGCTCCTGGGTGGCCTGCAGATGGGTGCAGCGGGTGGCCTCCGGCAGGGTCTGGGGTGTGGGGGTGTCAGCATCAACCCACACCCCACAGCTGTCTGTCTGTCTGTCCCTCCCTGCCTCCAGCCCACCATCCCTCCCTCTTTCTGTCCGTCCATCCCTCCAAACATCCATATCCCTCTCTCCATTCCTCCACCCCTCCCTCCCTCTGTCCGTTTATCTGTCTGTCCCTCCCTCCCCTTGACCATCCATCTGTCCATCCATCCGTCCCTCCATCCCTCCCTCTGTCTGTTCCTCCATCTGCCTGCCCCTCCATCCATTCCTTCCTCCATCCATCTGTCTGTCTGTCCATCCATCCTCCCCTCCCTTTCCTCCTACCCCCCCCCCCCCAAACCCCACCTTGTTGTCCCTGCATGCCTTCCTGGCTTCCTCTAGACTGGGGATGGTACAGGTGGACTTCGGTTTGGGACCAAACTCTGTGGATTTGGGTCAGTTTGTGGCTTTTCAGGGAGGGGGGGTGCCCCATCCTGCCCTGCCTGTGTGGCTCAGGGGGGGCTCAGCACCCCCAGAATGGGGGGAAAAAAGGGGGTAAAGGGTTAAAAAGGGGAGATAAAATGGGGAAGTGGTAGAAATGGGGTGTTTGCCCCCTTACCCTGGCAGGAGATGGTGGAAGAGTTTTGGGGGGTGGGGGCCATGCCGGGGGGGCACCCACAAACCCAGGATTCCTTCTGGTCCCCCACCTTGTGATAACCCAGGCAGCAGCTGTTGATGGAGCAGAAGTGGGGACCACAGGACGCTGTGGGGAACATGGCGGGGGGGGGGGGGGGCAAGGGTGGGGACAGGACCCAGGTCTGAGCCTGACCCCCCCTCATCTCCCACTGTGACTCCCAGATTCCCCCCACCCTTCACCCTCCCCCCAAACCCCCCCACTCACCTGTCTGGTCACCCTTGGTTGGGGGGAGGTGGCTCAGGAGGTGACACAGCACTGGGGACACACAAGGGGACATCAGGACCCCCCCTTCTTGAAGAGTGAACCCCCCCCAGGATCAACTCCCCCATAGGGCTCAAACCCCACTTTTGGGGGTCAAACCCCATATCAGTGCTCAAAATCCCCCTTTGGGGGTCAAACCTTCATTTTGGGGGCTCAGTCCCCCCTTTTGGGGCTCATTCTTCCCCCATCAGGGCTCAGTGCTCCCTTTTTGGGGTTAAACACACCCTTTTTGGGCTTCACACCCCTATCAGGGTTCAAAATCTTTTTTGGGTGGGTCAAATCTCCCCTTTTTGGGTCAAAACCCTCCTTTTAGGGTTCATCCTACCCATATGAGAGCTCTGAACCCCCTTTTTGGGGCTCCACCCTCCCCCATCAGGGCTCAAACCCTTCTTTTGGGGGCTCAACCTCCACCCCCCCTCAGCTCAAACCTATCATTTAGGGACTCAACCCCCCGTTTCAGGGCTTGACACCCCCCTCCTAGCTTCAGAAGCCCCATTTTGGGGCAATTTCAGGCCATTTGGGGCTGCTTTGCACTGCAGCTCTTACAGACCTGCCCTACTTCCGTCCCTGCCTCAGTTTCCCTTTTCCCATTTCCCTCCTTTTCACCCCAACCCCCCCC